CGCAGTTCGCGCCACCAGCCCGAGCTGGCCTCGCCCCTTCCTCCCCATTGGCTGCGCTGCCGCCGCCACCGCCAATCGCCGCGTCCGGAGGACGGATCGCAACAGAGCAGCCAATCAGCGAGCGCATCCGAGACATGGCGGAAGGCGCGCGGAGCATGCTGGGAGCTGTAGTCCGGATGGGACCCGCGCTCCCAGTAACCCCCAGCCCGTCCCCGCGTGCTCCCAGTGCCTGCATCCCCCATCCTGCCTTCCCAGTGCCACCACTATCCCTCATCCTGCCTTCCTACTGCCACGGAGTCCTACCCCACCCTTCTCCCAGCACTCTCCACCCTGCCTCCCAGCACTCCCAGTATCTCCCCCTTCCCACTTTCCTGTGCCCCCAGTTCCCGCACCCGTCCAATCCCACCTCGCCATGCTCCCAGACCATGCAATCCCGCCTTCCCATGCTCCCAGAGCCCACGGTCCTGTCTTCCCAGTGGTCCCACTGCCACCAGTACCCTCCACCCTGCCTCCCAGCACTCCCAGTAGCAGCCTGGCTGCAGACAGAACCCCCTACCCGCAGCCCCTGGGGCCATCACCCCCCCAAGAGACAAGAGGGGTCCCTGGGTACCCCCCTTCTCCAGCACCCTCCCTCCAGGCAGTGCCCTTGACATCATTTATCACTTTATTACTTTTATTTAAATGCAATTTCCAGCTCCTCCAATTCCCTCTGTTCCCTCTTAAGAGGGTCCCTTGCTCAGGAGGGGCAGAACCATGTTGACCCTTTATTTAACCCAAAGGGCAATGCTGAGGGGAGTCATCCTCCAGAAAACCCCCCCAAACACCCCTCACCCTTCACCCGCATTTCTCCAACCCCAACAGGGAAAGGTCCATCGTCATAGAAAAAAAAAAAAACAACACCCAAATCAACCCCAAACCGTTCTGGGGGAGGTGCAGCCTCCCTGCAGCCCCCGCCACCTTCCTCCTACGGCGCTTGACAGGTACAAAGAGATCAGTAACTACGTTAGTGTGACCCCCCCGCGGGAACACGGAGAGTCCGGCCGGGACCACCCGTCGGACAGGGAGTGTATAAGGCAAAACGTCACTGGCTCCCCCAGGGCCCCCCCCATGTGCCCCCTGACGTGTCAGAACCAGCACAAACGGCCCCCTCCTGGTTCCTCCCCAGATAATTAGTGTTTTCTTGTTAAAATGCTCGAGTTCGGGGGTTCAAGGGTGAAAGCCGAGAAGACCCCACGCCCCCCATCCCAGCCCGGGGGGGAAGTGCCGGTTATAGAGGGCACAGGGATGGGGTTCCCCCTCACCCAGCGCTGTCGGGGTCTCCCTGGATGGTCCCACTCACCCCCCTCCCCTACTGGCTCCTGTGCAAAAAAGCAATGGGCTGTGCTGGGATAACAAGGCTCTCCCAGGATAATGAGGTTCCACCGGGATAATGAGGCTCTCCAGGGATAACGAGGCTCCCCCAGCCTGGCCCTGCTCCCCCTCGCTCCGGGGGTCTCGCAGTATGTCCATCCGCAGCCCCTCTCCACCAGCCCCCCTGATCCCCACAGCCGGCACACGGCTCAGCCCAGAGTCCTGTGCCCGGCTCCCAGGCTGCTCCTGGCCCGGGATCCATGAGGAGGAACAAGGGATGGACCCATCCAGGCTTGCCATGAGTCCCGAGGGGTGCATAGATGAGGGGGACGCTGATGGAGGGTGCTGGGCCGGGCAGATCCGCTGGTCCTGGGGAAGGCAGAGAGGCTGGGAGTGTGCCATGCAGGATCCGGGGGGCTGGGAGCTGGGGGGGCCGGCTGAGGGAGGGGAAGGAGGTCCGTGTGTCTGCTCCGGAACAATCCACCTGCACAGCCCGGTTTCACCTGGGGATGGGGGGCAGAGGGGGGGCCCCACGTGTAGCTGCAAGACAAGGAAGGAGGATGGAAGCGGGAGCTCCGCAGAGCCGGATCCGGCACGTCTGCTTTCCCTCCTCCACACCCCCGCGCCAGCTGCTGGCCCCCCCTCCCTCCCCGACCTCCCCGCGGAGATCTGGAGCCTGGGATTTGCGCCTGGCAGCAGCCGCACCGAGCTCGGGGCTTTTCAAACCCGCATTAAACATTCATGGCTCTAAAAATAAACGAGCATCCCATTCTCCCCGGAGTCTCCGCCGGGATCCGCAGCGCTGACGCGCGGCACCAAGGGCACTTTGAGCTCTGCCGGGTCCGAGCGCCGGCGCTCAGGGCCAATCCCAGGATACACAGAGGGGCTGCGCTCTCCGGCCCCTGTCCAGCCCCAGCTCCGGCCGCAGGGTCCTTCAGGATCCCCCTCCGGCACCAATGAAAGCAGGAACGAGCCCTGCGGCATTTCCCAGTAGGTGGGATGGGACATCTGCACAGCCCAAATTCCCAGCCCCCCCTTCCCCTGAAGCACAGCGAGCTGCCCTCGGAGCTCAGCACCCCCAGGAAAGGGGCTTGGCACTCCCAGGAACATGGGTAGGGCCTGGGGCGAGGCCACTGCACCATTCACCCTGCACGGGGACAAACATGACCCCAAGGGCACAGGAGGGGACAGGTACTGCAGGACACCCCCCCTCCTCCTCACATGCACCCCCCCATCCTCCTCACCTCTGTTTGTTTTGCTGGGGTAGATTCTCTGGAAGTACTTATATTCCTCTGGGGCTGGGAAATCTTCAACAGGATGAAAGGAGTATTTGGATTCAAAGTCATCTGTGGAAAAGGGGCAGAAGAGGCAGGTGAGGGAGGGGGACTCTAGGGGAAGCCGGCCAAAGCCACAGGGCTCTGCTCCGAGGGGGATCCCTGCAGGGGTCCCACTCACCCAGGAATGCTCTGACGGTGGAGATGGAGTCGCGGTGCCCGTTCCGCACGGGCGGTGGCGCGGCGTGGCACCAGCGGGGTCCGGTGGGCGGCGGCGGGGGCTTCCACCCGGTGGGGGACTCGGCGGGCCGTTCAGTCGGAGGGGGCGGCGGGGGGCGCATCGCGCCCCGTTCCGCAGCATCGGCGGGGGGCGGGGCGCTGCAGGGAGAGGCGGGTCAGCAATGCGGCATTACTGGCAAACCCAAGTGACATCCCTGGAGCATTCCAGGCCGGCGGCTGGGCCAGACCGCGGCCCAGGGATGCTCCTACGCGTGCCCAGAGATTTCCTGCTCGCTCCTGACATCTGCATTCCTCATTCCTCCAGCAGCTGCAGGGCAGAGACCGGCCAGCCCGGTGCCCCCCCAGCTCACCACCCACCATGGGGGGCTGCTCTGGCCCTGCACATTCCCAGCCCATGCTGGGCACACATCCCTCCACGGAGGGGATCCAAGGAGCAGCTATGAGCCAGCACATCCCAGAGTCTGAGGGCAGCAGCTCCCCGTGGAGCCAAGACGCTGCCTGCCAGGGCTGGAGGCCACGTCTGCAGTGCCACCGAGGCGGTGACAGGACCCCCGGCCCCTCTGACCCACCTCTCGCTCCTGCCCAGCCTCCCGCGGAGGCTCGGTGGCAGTTCGTGCTCCTCATTAGCCTAATTACGGCCGGGCTGACAGCGCAGCTCCCCAGCCGTAGCTCCAAGGAGGGATTCTGGCAGGGCTGGGAGGACAGAGCGGCTTGGCCAGGGCCCAGGCGGGAGCTGCGGTCTGGACACGGAGCCCAGGAGCGCACGGGGGGGCACCAGGGCACAGCCAGCGCCAGCCCCGGCCACGGGGAAACGCTCTCGAGGGCTGCACCACCACAGGAAAGGCTTCTCCCTGCTCTGCCACAGCTTTTTGTCATCCCCCCAGCGACATTTCAGAAGCTCAGGGGAGCAGAGACAGACTATGCAGCTCTGGCTCTGCCATGTTCTCACCTCCCACCCCAGGAAAGCACACGGACTTCACGGGCAGGAGCTGCCCAGACTAAACCCACCACCACCATCAGGCTGGGAGGAGCTGGATGGGCATGGGACATGACCAAGGACATGTGTTAAACATGACACTGCAGCCACTGCCCTGCTCAGCCCCTACACCATGAGCAGAATCACAGACTCACTTAGGCTGGAAAACACCTCCAAGATCATTGAGTCCAACCTGTGATCAATCCCCACCTTGTCAACCAGACCAGGGCACTGAGTGCCACGACTCCCTGAACACCTTCAGGGATGGTGACTCCACCTCCCTGGGCAGTCGCTTCCAATGTTTAATCAACCTTTCTGTGGAACCTCACTGTGCCTCAGAGCTGACTCTTCCCACTCACCTCTCACAAGCCCCCAACCACTGAGAGACCCCCACAGCCCACCCGGGACACCATGGAGCAAACAGCTCTTACCT